TCGCGGAAAGCCTTTGACTAAAGTGATCCAAATAGAGGTCAGCCAATCAGCCAATACAACGCCAACTGCAGATCTCATAGAACTCCGTACCTCTGGCTGACGATGGATGTTGTTCGTGAACTGATATCATCTCCTCGGCGTCGCAGTCCAGTGACTTCGGCTTATTTGACGTGTCCTTCAGGATGCCAGGAAAATTGTCGATCGGCCTGTCGGTACCCACGTGCTGAAACGGGCGGCTATATCTAGAAATGCCACTGAGCATTCAATTCTATTATTTTCCCTCTCGCAGGATCAGGTTATGGATTTTAACATCATTACGAAGCTACGTTCATTGAAGCCAATTATGCCTAGCGAATTAATCCAATATTGTGCATTCAAGCGCTCCATGTTCACGTATTGACGGCCAACATGCAAACATAAACTATTTGCAGAATGATTGAAATTTTTATTCCAATCAACATCGCATGCGCTCATAATACAGACTCAATAAACATTGGACAGAAATGTTTATTGATGAACATGATTAACGATTCTCATATCGGATGCCCATGAACTGGAAAGAGAAACGATCTGCACGCTGTTGAAACCTTACAAGATGAGAACTTCAAAGTGAAAAATAAGTGACAAAAATATTGCACTCATTCGACTTTTTCCAAAACAAAATCAGACCTCATCTTTTTGGTCGTCACTTACTCTGCTGCGTAGTGATTCTGGAACACTAAGATCAAATGAGGTGCGTTTTGTTCGTGTATTTCAGTATGGCTTGAATGAGTTCGAGCAGGTAGCAGTCCTGCGGAAGATGCTTTATAGATTATCGTTCTTGGTTCTCAAATTTTGTTTCGTGCTGCAGATTTGAATTGTGAGGAAACGAATTTTCTCAGGACCCCTGAAAATGATTACCCAGGGTATCTGACGTCTCGAGTGAACTTCGGACAAAAGGAAAATCTGAACTGGCAGTGATTATTGGAAGTACCTCGTTTGATAAAGTAGCCAGCCAAAAGACCATGGTGTATTTTTGTTTTTGTCGTTTCACTCAGTGGAGCGATTCGTAAAGAGCGGCAGAAGTGGACTGTGGTCACTATGCGCAAGGCAGCGACGAAATTTTAAAAATGCCACAATCGTGGCAGAATTCCTTTCTTGGAAATGAACCAAACGTGCTCAAATTGGTGATTGTCCGTCTGAGGGTGAGTACAATAAATCAGATTACCGTTCGTGGTTTATGGTTTGATAGATTGTCATGAACTTTAGTACGTGCCTTGGTATGCAGTCTACTTGGATAAAACTTTGTTGTTCTTTCTACCTAGTGCTTTGCCATTTTCGTAAAGCACTAATGTTTGAGACGCCTAAGGCGAGACACTTAATTCGTGAAGACTGTCACAATGGTCTTTTACGATAATGAAGTTGGAAGAAAAGACTTAGCTTCTGTTAAACTTTGATAACCACCTTTAAGAGGTGTTTCTGTTGCGTTCCTTAGCACAATAAATAAACTATGGCTTACATTCTTGTCTCTGCTGCAACAACGTAAAGATCGTCCAAACAGAGTACACGCGTACAAACTTACTTAATCTTTGAATAGCAAATTGCAATGTAGAAAACTCGATAGAAACATTAAGATGCACGGTATAAAATAAAAAACATTGAGTCAATGGCATACGATCCGTGAAACTACCAAACTAGGCGTCCAAACTTAAAATCCCGACATGCCGAATTTTGTAATAAATGTAAGGCAATCAATGTTCTGGCTATTTTCTCAGAAATCCTGCTGCTTAACCTGAAATCGTTCTTTACAAGTGAACAGTATTCAGCCTAAATTATTCTGCTTGAGTTACATCTTTCTACTAATTCATCAAAAGCCCAGACGCTCACCATGATCTCATCAGACGGCTGTCATTGTCTCAAATAAGTGAAAAAAGACTTTCTATGAAATTAGGCCATTTTTCGCTTGTTGATGGCTTTATCACAATATATTTTAGGTTAATTAGCTGAACTAAGTTATTCTTAACTCAGAAGTAGATTAACGGAAAACGTTTTTGGCCATTTTGCTCGATACTGTGAGATTTTGATAATTTAAACGGTGTTTAGTTTCGTCTGCCGCCTGACATTCTTCGAATATCGTCGTTTCGTTTCTCCCAAGAGTATTATTCCTCAAGAGACTTGGTATTCATTTTCTATGAAGTGGTCGAAATTATGATTTTTATTTTTTGTGTTTCTCTTTACTTTATTTGGGTACGGTGGCACAGCAGGAAGCGAACAACTTCGAACTTTGACAAGAAACAATAATTTTCCTAACCGGCAAGGAACTTACCTTATGCTGTTTTGGTGCAACAAACTGAGAAAAGGAGTGCATGTTGTTGACTTGCGAGCAGCAGATACAGCACAGTGTTATGGCGTGGGAAATGGGTGAGAAACAAGGCTATGCTCTCTGATGCAAATGGGTCATAGGCAACTCATTTTGACTCACCTAGTAGCTGCCTATTCGATGTGACAAACAGCAGAGCGTGTAACCCATGTTGTTTTTGTAACGAAGAGCTGACACACAGGGTCTGGTGGTTCTAGAGCCTAGTCTTTGGCTTCTATGTCATGCTAATAGAGTCTTTAAGGTCGTTTCTAACAGCGTGCCTCGAACGTTTCACTGGAC